ATAATGCATATTATTCCCTGCAATTGTTTTATAGATCATTGAATCCCTACAGTGTGGGAACAGGCCCTTCAGCCCAACAAGTCCACACCGAACCTCAGAGCATCCCACCCAGACCCATTCCCCTGTAACCCATCTAATCTACACATCCCTGAACACTATGGGCAATTTAGCATGGCCAATCCACCTAGCCTGCACATCTTTGGACTGTGGGAAGAGACCAGAGCACCAGGAGGAAACCCACGCAGACACAGGGAGAATGTTGCAAACTCCACACAGACAGTCCTCCAAGGGTGGAATCGAACCCAGGTCCCTAGTGCTGTGAGGCAGCAGTGCTAACCACTGAGCCACTGTGCCGCCCCATCAAAACAATGGATGTAGCTCATCAAAACAATAGATTTAGCATCAGGGAGTACAACAATCTCCCATTTAAAGTGTCAGCAACAAATACTCCTTGGTCTGATGTAACATCAGATGCAGCAAAGCAAAAGCACCCTAATCCCAGTCACAATTGACATGCCTTAATTCGAACCTCAGTAAGAACTGTTCTGAGGAAGGGTCACTGGACCCAAAACTTTAACTCTAATTTTCTTTCCAGAGATGCTGCCAGACCTGCTGAGCTTTTCCAGAACTTCTGTTTTTGTTCTCCATCTGAAGACTCTGGCACACCATCAGGTTGGGTGCAACTAATGCAATTCAATATTAATTCTTTCAGAATCTTTACCTTATGCAGCTAACTTTTACACAGCATGCTCCCACAAACAGTAATATGATCAGCAGATAATCTTTTCTTGGAATATTGATTAAAAAACACATCAGGACTGTGATGGAATACTCTCCAGTTGCCTGAATAGGTGCAGCTCCAACCAAGGATGAAGGAGCCTGCTTAATTGAACTGAATCCAAAGATCCTGACAATGTTCTAGTCAATTTCAGGACATGTAGGCTCAAGTTCATGTCATAACATTAACAGCAAAATGAATGAGATACTGTACGACCGTCTTGTGGAGCAGTGATAATGTCCCAACCCCTGGACCAGAAGGCTTGGGTTCAAGTCCCATCTGCTCTGTAGATGTGTAATAAAATCTCCTAACAGGTTGCTTGGGAAAAATAGATGCTGTCCAAAAAGCTGAAGCTTTGGCCTCCATCCAAATGGTTTTACACCAAAAAAAATTGACAACATGCACTAAATTCCAACTTTGATCCAGATGCAAGTGCAAATATCAACCTTTTACATATCTTACAAGAGATGTACGCAGGAAATTGACACAATGTAGTGCAATCACACACAATTAGTTAAGTGTTTACATTTGGTCTGACATCACTTGCAATGACATTGTCCATCTTCATTGTCAATATGATACTTGAAATCTTCCACATTGTTGAAACAGCAGGGCCTATTATTGGTCTGCCAGCATGTACAGATATACTATAACAAACCACAAAGTGAAAAACTATCAGCTACAACACCAAACATTCTAACTGCAACATCAATCTCATTCGGTTTGGTCTCAGCCAATTGGAGCAGACTCAGCAGGATGTGTCAGATGATGACCCCATTAATAAGATCATTATCAGCAGGTGGCCTGAATGCTTCCAACAGGTTTTTCTGCTAATTTGGTCATTCAGAGACAAAATTAAAATCTCTAAGAATGTAATCAAAGGCAAACCAGTGGTTAATTCCACCAGCTCTAAATCACAATATGCTAGATCATATACAGAGATAACATGACATCAAATAAAGCAAGTGTTTAGTTCATGAATCCATTTTTGACCTACTATATATAAGGGCACTGATTAACTAATCAAGTCATATCAATAATGTCAACTCCGTCAACTTCAACAATTAAGAAAACTTCTCCTTCCACACAAATTTTCTTCTTAACCGGTGTTATGTTCCAGACCAGACCTCCTAAAGTAGCCTCGACCTTAAAGTTTTCTTATTTTAAAGGCAAATGTAATGTCCCATATTGCAGATACAATGCAATTGGTCAAACTACTTGACGTTAATCTCACAGTTAGGGATCCTCTCAGAAGGAGCGATCACAGTATGGTCGAATTTAAAATACAGATGGAGCATGAGAAGGTTAAATCCAGTACCTATGTCCTGTGCTTAAACAAAGGAGACTATGAAGGAATGAGGGAGGAGTTAGCTAAGGTAGAATGGAAGCAAAAACTTTATGGTGGGTCAATTGAGGAACAGTGGAGGACTTTCAAAACAATTTTTCACAGTGCTCAGCAGAAGTATATTCCAGTGATAAGGAAGAACTGTAGGAAAAAAGATAGCCAGCCATGGATGTCTAAGGAAATAAAGGAAAGTATCAGATTGAAAGAAAACACATACAAAAAAGCAAAGAGTAGTGGGAAACTAGTAGACTGGGAAATCTTTAAAGGCCAACAGAAAGCCGCAAAAAAAGTTATAAAGAAAAGTAAGATAGATTATGAGAGTAAACTAGCTCAGGCAGCAAAAGTTTCTATAAATATGTAAATCATAAAAGAGTGGCGAAGGTAAACATTGGTCCTTTAGAGGATGAGAAGGCCAATTTAATAACTGGGAATGAGACATTAAACAATTATTTCGTGTCGGTCTTCACAGTGGAAGACACAAATAACATGCCGAAAACTAATGGCAAGAAGGTTATATCAGGTGAGGACCTAGAAACTATCATTATCACTAAGGAGGCAGTGCTGGGCAAGCTAATGGGGCTAAAGGTAGACAAGTCTCCTGGCCCTGATGAAATGTAACCCAGGGTACTAAAAGAGGTGATGGGGGAAATAGCAAATGTACTAGTAATTATTTACCAAAATTCACTGGACTCTGGGGTGGTTCCCGCAGATTGGAAAACAGCCAATGTGACGCCACTGTTTAAAAAAGGGAGTAGACAAAAAGCAGATAACTATAGGCCAGTTAGCTTAACTTCGGTAGTGGGGAAAATGCATGAATCTATCATTAAGGAAGAAATAGCAAGACATCTGGATATAAATTGTCCCATTGGGAACAGCCAGCACGGGTTCATGAAGGGTAGGTCATGTTTAACTAATTTGGTGGAATTCTTTGAGGACATTACTTGCATGGTGGACAATGGGTAACCTGTGGATGTGGTGTATCTGGATTTCCAGAAGGCATTTGACAAGGTGCAACACCAAAGGCTGCTACATAAGATAAAGTTGCACAGTATTACAGGTAATGTATTGACATGGATAGAGGATTGGTTGACCAGTAGAAAGCAAAGAGTAGGAGTAAATAGGTGTTTTTCTGATTGGCGGTCAGGGCTAGTGGTGTGCCTCAGGGATCAGTGTTGGGACCTCAGTTGTTTACAATTTACATAGATGATTTAGAGTTGAGGACTAAGTGTGGTGTGTCAAAATTTGCAGATGACACTAAGGTGAGTGGTAGAGCAAAGTGTGCAGAAGACGCCGAAAGTCTGCAGAGGGATATAGATAGTCTAAGTGAGTGGGCAAAGGTCTGGCAAATGGAGTACAATGTTAATAAGTGTGAGGTCATCCATTTTGGTAGGAATAACAGCAAAATGGACTATGTTTTAAATGGTAAGAAATTGCAGCAAGCTGCTGTGCAGAGGGACTTGGGTGTCCTTGTGCATGAATCGCTGAAGGTGGGATTGCAGGTGCAGCAGATGATTAAAAAGGCAAATGGAATTTTGTCCGTCATTGCTAGAGGGATGGAGTTTAAAAACAGGGAGGCTATGCTGCAGCTGTATAGGGTCCTGGTGAGGCCACACCTAGAGTACTGTGAGCAGTTTTGTTCTCCTTACTTGAGAAGAGATATACTAGCACTGGAGAGGGTGCAGAGGAGATTCACTCAGTTGATTCCAGAGTTGAGAGGGTTGGATTATGAAGAGAGACTGAGTAGACTGGGATTATACTCATTGGAATTCAGGAGAATGAGGGGAGATCTAATAGAAACATATAAGATTATGAAGGGAATAGATAAAGTGGAGGCAGGGAGGTTGTTTCTGCTAGCAGGTGAAACTAGGACTAGAGGGCATCGCCTCAAAATAAAGGGAAGCAGATGTAGGACTGAGGTCAGGAGGAACTTCTTCACCCAAAGGGTTGTGAATCTGTGGAATTCCCTGCCCAGTGAAGCGGTTGAAGTTACCTCCCTGAATGTTTTTAAGGCAAGGCTAGATAAATTTTTGAACAGTAAAGGAATTAAGGGTTATGGTGAGTGGGCGGGTAAGTGGAGCTGAGTCTCAAAAAGATAGGCCATGATCTTATTAAATGGTGGGGCAGGCTCGAGGGGCCAGATGGCCTACTCCTGCTCCTCGTTCTTATGTTCTTATGTTCTTAAGCAAAACATTATTTAAACACTATAATTAAAATACAACAAATGAAAGAAGAACTTAGAATAATATAGCTCTATTGGAAAACTTAACAGAATAATAGATACAGTGGCTATTACTAATTCACTGTTTCAATATAATAACATTCTATAAATACACCCTTTGGCAAAAAGGCAAATTCAGAAATCAGATTTTGTCTCACATGCAATCCAGCAGCCTAGGAAGAGAACCCCAGCTTTTGGCTGTATTTGAGAGAGGGAAAAATAACTTCTACTTCTTCAAGCCCACAAAATAAGGTAGGAGCAAATTACTGCAGATACTGGACAAAAATAACCTCTTAAAGCCACAGCATTGTCACAACAGAAAGGCAGCAAACAAAATGAAAGTCATCAGCAAACCTACAGTCACTGAAAACATGTTCTTCATCTGATTAATTTTTCTTTTAACTTCTAACATGCTTCTGTCACTTTCGCATCCACTGTTTTTATCGATCATCTTCAATACTTAACTTCTCCTGCACCTTGGTAAATACCCAGACCAAATTATCCCCCTTTCTTCCCCCATGTGTGTGCTGACTGACTTGAAACAGGGAGAATTATTAACAAATCAAGCAAAGCGTAGTGATTAATTAACTGGGGAAAACGTTGAAAACATCCTTCTAATTGTGTGCCTTACAGTTGCTGTGTATTTTCCTCTTTTCCAGAATGTTTGTTGTGCAGAGCATTGAAAACAGCAATCTACTCCTCCTAGTGACAGAAGCATACTGTGACTGCAGCATCTTCCCACCAGTAACACTGGAACCAAAAGAAGTGAAATATATCCTTTATAAAAACATATATTATTGCAACAACATTACATAAAACATACACTGGCAAAAAGAGTTGGGGAAGGGTTTGGAATCTGTGTCCACCTGTGGTAAACCAAGTTGATCACACTTTGGCCTTGTTCTTTCATAAATAAGAAATCAGAAAATCAAAAATGTCCTTGTTTCTTAATTGGATTAAAAGAAAGGTCAGTGGACAACTTATTGACTGCCTTAATAGGTACATTCTTGCCAGCACTTTGTTTACAGAGCCACACAATAGGACTGACCTTGGAGACATTCCCCTTATTAGCCTTCCACATCTGAAAGAAATGAAGAAGTAGAATACTGGTGTAGGCTGTTAGGATCCTGTGCCCCTTTGTAATGTCCCTACTTTTGGACCAGGAGGCCCAGCTTCAAGTCCTGCATGCACCAGAGGTGGCATAATAGCTGTCTGAATAGGATGGTTGGAAAATTTTAGCAAAGATGGTTGACTTCTTTTTAAAAAGTATAGTATCTTAAGGGTCTTCTGGTGCAGTAGTATGCCCCAACCTGTGGACCAGAAGACCAGGGTTCAATTTCCACGTGCTGTAGAAGTACACAATAATATCTCTAAACATGTTGATTGTTTTTTTTTTAAAAAAGCACATGTAGGATCTTGTGGCATAAAGATAGTGTCCTCTGCACTAGAACATCAGGGTTCAAGTCTGTCCTACCTACCATGGACGTGTGTCATAACATGTTTGAACAGGATTTTTTTTTACAAAGACATCCCTTTGACAGGATTGTTCCCCTGAATGACAACTTCACAAGTATCACATCAGTGAATTTATAACTGCAGTTACATTTGTGAATTTTACAGATCACCTG